GGTTATCTCCTCGGCGGCGCGCGACTAGGGAGAGAGGCGGCGGCGCGCGACTAGGAAGGAGGCTCGGCGAAGTCCGGTGACCGTCGGCGACGTCTAACCAAGGCGAGCGACGAACGGCGACGGAGGGCGACGGGCGAAGCAGTCGAAGTGAGAGAATGGAAGGAAACGAATGACGGCCAGAGGGGTTCGGGTTCGGGAAATAGGGCTTTTACCGACGGAAGTTCCACCGGTATTGACACTAGTGACGTCGGTATCATTTCCGACGTCTGATCCGTCGGATATATTTCGTTGAGTTTAAATACGCCGGCGCAATGTCCGCCGGTAACGTACGCCGGAATTGTTCCGCCGTAACGTGCGACGGAAATGGTTCAGGCAACCCTATACCGTCGGATTTGCCGGCGGAACCGGCGTCGGTAAATTTACGGCGTATTTTGCACCGGAAAGGTTGACGCAAACTTTTCGTCGAGCAAATCCGCCGGTACCTACGCCGTTTATTTTCGTCCATAATTTTTCGCCGGAAAATCCGATGATAATCGCGTGTTTTCCCGTAGTGAGATGTGTTATACCAATACTCTGCTTAAGCCAATCAATTGGGCCATAACTTTGGTGTATCTGATATAAAGCACCGCAAATAGGTATCCACACTACGATTAACCACCTCTGTCTCCCCATTCATCTGAGGATGATAATTCTTTTCAAGACCGTCCCTTGCATTTTGAACAATTCTTCCAGAACTGGCTCAGGACGATCGTCCCTATCTAATATAATCATTTCCTATATTCCATGAAGTCCCAACGCTTCTCTCATAAAAGTTGTTGCTATTGATACTACTGTGTAGAGATGCAGAAAGGGAATGAAATGGGCATATTTGTTTAACCGATCCACTACCATTAGTACCAACTAGGGGTGTCAATTTCGGGTTACGGGTCGGGTTCGGGTCGACCCTACCCATTTTTGCAAACCGGTCGATTTTCTGGACACAAACCTGACCCGCTTCAGGTTCGGGTCAACCCGACCCGACCCGCGTATGCCGCGGACACGGCATGGCATTTGGACGCAACGCAGTGCAGAATCGCCGGATGTCGGACGCGGTGCGGAATCGCTGTATGCCGGACATGGCGCGGAATTGCAGCGGACGCTAGCGACTGATGCTGGACGGCGTGGACGCGACCCAACATGGCCTCGGGACGCGATGAGACTTGGCCTTGGGACGCAACACGACGTGACGTGGCCGGGCAGGTGGGCGCCAGGCAGGCGGGGCAGCCGGGAAGCGGGCAGGGTTATTCCGGGCAGACTGATTTGTGTGCATTCCGAGTCATTTCGGGTTATTCCCGGGTTTCCGGATCAACCCGAACCCGACCCTGTTTTTCAAACGGATTGGTTTTCATGACCCGAACCTGACCCGCTTCGGGTTCGGGTTAACCCAAACCCGAAATTTTCGGGTCGGGCTTTCGGGTCAGGTCCAATATTGACAGATCTAGTACTTATGCCTCTAGCATATATCATAGCTAGCCACCATTTTCTCAACATCCTTATGCATCCACTTCAAGTACAGCTCGGCAGATAACCAGCGATAGGTCTTTTGGGCCCCTCGAATGCCCTCCCGTGGCTATCCCATGAAACTCATGCAATAAGCTGGTGATGTAAGAAGAGGTTTTTGAAAGCACAAGCTGCCCTTCATGTAGCAACTTCTATCATACTGTATGTAGCCCTTTGGATCTGTTGTAAACCAATATGTTGTTAAAGAAAGCCAACACAAACATTCGCAAGTAGGGCTATAATACCCTATTCATCAGGGACTGGAAGGTTGTTGGTGCATTAATAAGATCAAACAGCATCACCAAAAACTCATAATGCCCCTCGTGCATTCAAAAAGCTGTCTTGTAGGCGTATCCAGGTCGCATCCTGATTTTATGATATCCATATTTTAAGTCGATCTTGAAAAATATCATAGATCCATGCAACTCATCTAACAGCTCTGTTGATCTCAACATTAAATCAAAAATAAAAAAGAAAAAAAAATTATCATCAAAATCAAATGAAAATCCACGTAATCCCAAAATTCTGCAAAAAATCGCGATTGCTGCAGGAGTTCCGCTGAATCGTACTTTTTTTACGTCGTTAAAAAGAGCATTCGAGGCTCTTGATTCATTTCTTCTACTGTTCCTCCTTTTGTCGAAATCTACAAACATTTCCTTCTTCCTCTCTCTCTTTTTTCTTGCACATAGAGCCTCCCGTACCTTCTGATTCCTTGTCGATTCCTCCAATCCAGCCGCCGAGCCCTAACCACGACTCCAACACCTCCACTCTACTTCTTCACCTACAGTGAAGCTCGTGACCATCCATCCCTGCACCAAATCTCAACCTCCCTTTGCCTCTTCTTGCAACCATTCCCATCGCAAACCTGTTACTGTTGCATAGTTGGAAGGAATCATCACTGAGAATATCAAGACAGCTATAGTTGTTGACCTAGCGAAAAAATTAGTAAGGGTCACCCGTACCCTACCGAATTTGTCCAAGTGTCGTACCCGAAAGGGTACTCTGTCCCGAAATTCCATACGTTCAATGGTAATAATAATTCTAGGAGCACTTGGCACAATTCAAGATCACCTGCGGGAATACAGGGGGAAATGACGTCCTACTCTTTTAGTAGTTCGTTAACAGTTTGACATCAACTGCTTAAGAATGGTATGCTGAGTTGTCAGATGACTCCGTGAAAACTTTTGCAGAATTAGAGGCTATGTTTGTAAAGAGATTCGTCAGTGTGACCGAGAAGATTACAATCGTCGACCTCACTTTAGATAAATAGAAGAAAGAGGAGTCGGTATTAAAATATATAACTCGTTGGTGTAACTTGAGCCTGAAATGTGAGTAGCAGTTTGAGGAAGAACACGCAGTGTAATTATTAATGGGAAACATCGACAATAAGATGCAATCATTCTTATGAATGGCTACAATTACTATATTTCAGGATCTGCTGGATAGGGTGGCCAAGTTTGAGAAGTTAAATTTGTCGAGATTAGAATGCCACTCTGATAAGCTCAAGAAAGCTAAAGCCTCTTATTCTAAGAAAGGTGAAACCTATTCTATGTCCTCCCTCAAGCGGAGTAAGGGGAAGCAAGTGGCTTATATTGTAAACAAACACAAACAACTAATGTTGTATGGTGAAAAGCCAAAACAAGTCTACAACCCTAACCTCCAGTTGAAGCTGATACTTGCAGAATTAGAGGCTATGTTTGTAAAGAGATTTGTCAGTGTGACCGAGAAGATTACGATCGTCGACCTCACTTTAGATAAATAGAAGAAAGAGGAGTCAGTATTAAAATATATAACTCGTTGGTGTTACTTGAGCCTGAAATGTGAGTAGCAGTTTGAGAAAGAACACGCAGTGTAATTATTAATGGGAAACATCGACAATAAGATGCAATCATTCTTATGAATGACTACAATTACCACATTTCAGGATCTGCTGGATAGGGTGGCCAAGTTTGAGAAGTTAAATTTGTAGAGATTAGAATGCCACTCTGATAAGCTCAAGAAAGCTAAAGCCTCATATTCTAAGAAAGGTGCAACCTATTCTATGTCCTCCCTCAAGCGGAGTAAGGGGAAGCAAGTGGCTTATATTGTAAACAAACACAAACAACTAATGTTGTATGGTGAAAAGCCAAAACAAGTCTACAACCCTAACCTCCAGTTGAAGCTGATACTTGGGGGGAATGATAGGCCACAAACTTTTCAAGGTGGAGGTGAACGCCCGAGGCAAGCAATAGGAATCGATGATAGAACGTTTCCATCTCTCAAAGACAAGATAAATAAGAAATATTCATTTGAAAGAGAGTGTCGTGAAGTTATTTCGACAGGTGTTAAAAGCAGGTTTGAAACTACCAGAGTGCAAAAGGCGGGAGCCGCTATGTTGCACCGATACACCTATTTATGAAGGCGTGCTGTATCCGATACAACGATACACGGATACGCCTCCGATACTCCACCGATACGTGTCGGATATGCCAAAGCCGTATCCAATTAAAATACTATTTAATTTCACAAAGACATGCGTGTCCATTGAAAAACAAAAAGAAATCCAAAAAAAGACGTATCGTATTTATTTCCGCGATTACGAGCAAGATTCTCATTTCCAAGATGGATTTGAGTCTCTTGATGATATGAAAATATTAAAAATTACTAATCTTTCACTTGATGAGCCTGAATTAGAAGCTATGATATTTATTGAAGATGATATAAAAGTTCAAAGACAAACCAATGAAGAAGATAATTATATCATTCCTTCTATTGAATAGTTGAAACTTTATGTGCTAGATAATTTATGTTTATGCTTTTGTTGTTGTACTAGACATTTAATGCTTACTTATATTTTGATATTATAAGCTACAAGGCCTACACATCATGTTGTTGTCATTTTTTTTTGTAATTTCAAATATTATGCTTTGATTGCTTTCTTAATTTTTATGTATGATTTATAAATTATAATGCCATGTCCGCGCCGTACCCGTATCCTGTATTTTTAAGAATTGACGTGTCCCGTATCCGTATCGTGTCTTATCCGTGTCGCCGTATCCGTATCAGTGCAACATAGGCGGGAGGATTCGAAAGAAATTGGCAATCCAAATTACTGCCTATATGACCATCCCAGTGAAGATTGCTACATCTTCAACGATTGGCTCGAAAGAAAATACTAGAAGGGAGAGCTCACATTGTTAGATAATGTGTTGACTAATCCTAGAAAAAAATCAACCCAGGCAGTTACGACTTCTTTTGTACTCTCTGTTAAAGAAAAAAAATTAAAAGAAGCCGATTCAAGAAGAATAGTGGGAGACTGTGGTCTCTAAGAAAATTGTGAAAATGTTAAGGCAGCTTTAAGGAGTTCCGGGTGTGAAATGGAAGTCTCCTATGGAACCGGTTTTAGATCCTAAGGCACTGCTTATTGTGCGAGCATTATCTTCGAAACAGTATTCCAACCAAGTTGGTTCTTCAAAGTTTGAATGATAAAATCCTCTAAGAAGAAGACCAAATTGAGGAAGCCCAAAGAGAAAAAGACTGCAACCCAAAGGGTTATCGACAATTTGGATGAATACTACCAGACTTCGAGACGCCCCATTATGTTTGCTGATTTTACGATGGAGCTCAAAGTTGAGGGAAAAGAGGCCGACGAGGATCCATTCCTCGTGGAAACTTGTCGGGTTATTTCAATGACACCGATAGCTCTGACCAAAAGTGAAAAAGAAGCACCATCTGAATCTTATATGATGGTGTCGCCAATGGATTACAGTGAGCTGGAGGATCTATATTTTCTAGAAGATGATGAATTAGAGCCTGATATCGCTTCGCAAATGGTGTAGGTAAACTTGAACAGTAACTCTAAATCAACGGAGGAATCTCCAGATGCAATGATGGTTGACGCTGAAGAAAATGCACCATCAAATGAGTATGAGGAGGTGATCACCCAAGTACACTTGGAAAGTGGTAATACACTACCGTCTCCACCGAAGAAAGAGATACCTAATAAAAACAGAGGGAAGGAGATAGTTGTAAATGAAGACATTATCCCCATGGACCCAAAAAGGAAAGATACTCCAACCAAAGGAATAAATTATAATATCCTATCCCGTATGAGAAAAATCCCAGCACAGCTTAGCATATACGACATTTTGGTGACACCTTGATTTAGGCTCTCTGGGACCCCGAAAGATACGAAGCATATTTTGCTGAACGTAGCTTGACTGAGGTCTTGCAAGCTCGAAATGAACCGATCATTATTTTTGCCGAGAACAACATGATGCTTGGAGTGGCAGACCATAATTGCCCTCTGTATGTTACTGCAGAGAATGACGGGATGATAATCAGCCGAATTTTTATTGAACTCAGGTCTTCTATCAATCTTATAAGCTTGAAAGCACTGAGATCACTTTGTCTCAATATGAAGCACCTCGGGTAAGACAAGTTAAAGGTGCACAGATTCAATGAGAAGGGGCAAAAGACCCTAGGATCCTTCATGCTCTATCTAGTATTCAAAGAACTCTATACCGAGGTAAAATTCCATGTGATTGCGTGGACACCTCATTTAATGTGTTGTTGGGTCACCCGTGGTTGCACGATTATGGCATTGTCCCGTCAACACTGCATTAATGTATGAAGTATATTAGGGATGGAGAGAAGTTCAGAATCTCTGGTTATATTCAACCCTCTGGGGTTCATGAGGTGAAAATCTATAAGGATGCTAGGTACTTCATCCCCAAAGAATCAAAGCCATTGAGTTCTTTCGAGACTAAGGTAGCAAATCCAAAAATTGTGAAGTAGCCCAAACAAGAAGATGAGAAGAAGAAAGAGGGGAGAAAGAAGGAAACGCCGACTCTTCCCAAAGTAGTGATTACTTCTAGATCGAGACAACATGTGCCTTACCTTGGGAGTGGCACAGACGAGGATGATGCCATCCCTGCTAAATCTTAGGAAATATGCCAATCACCAGCTAGGGGGAAAAAGAAGACAAAATATTCAGATGATGACTACGACTACGAGTCTATCTATATGAATGAAGTGCAACATGTACTCTAAAAAAGAATAGAAAATCTGTTAATTTCAGACAATAAATGTGTAATCACATGTGTTCTCCCGCAACATTTCAAAGAAATCATTACTTGAAATATACATAATGTCAAGGAGCTTGTAATATTTTATGTGCCTCCTCTAATGAATAAGGGCATACCAGGAACCCTATTTTATAAATTTGGAGAGCGTGAAGAAGAAGGGAATTGAGACTGGTTCTATAGGCCCATCGAGCGTAGGGATTAATGCCTACGAGAATGCCCAGATTAATTATTGGAAATATCCATAAGATGTTATGAAAGCAGGCCAGAATTCACACTCCTGCATTACAACTTCGCCTCTGCTTAAGACTTTGGTATTTAAGAAATTCTCATACATTGCGAAGAAGAGATTCTCGCAAGGAGAGGTCTCAGATTCACCATGCAAAAGTACCCCCAAAAAATAGACGTGTCATGCCATCACATACAGGGAAATTGAATCTGATGACGGTGGCGCTGAAGAGATTTATGGAGCTGACGTTTATGATGATCAACCCGTAGAGGCTATGCCTGCACCTGAAGAGCTCGAAGATGGTGGACAGGCGGCCACTATGGATGAGCTAAAAGTGATTAATTTGGGGACTGAGAAGGACCATCGCCCAACCTTTATTAGTTCCCTTCTACCAGAAGATCATGTGGAGGGAATGAAATAACTTCTCTGTGAATTCAGGGACTGCTTTACGTGGTCATATGCTGAGATTTCTGGCTTATCCTCTAATGTGGTGATTCATAGATTAGCCATCAAGCCTAATGCAGCACCTGTCAAGCAAGCTCGAAGAAGAATGAGATTAGAAATTGAAGAAGAGGTGATTGCCGAAACTAAGAAGCTCATAGAAGCGGGCTTTATCCGAGAGGAAAAGTATGCCGATTGGATCACCAACATCGTCCCTGTAAAGAAGAAGAATGGTAAGATTTGTATATGTATTGATTTTTGGGATCTCAACAAGGCGTGTCTAAAATATGACTTTCTGCTCCCAGTATTCGAACTCCTAGTGGACAATACATCAAACTATGATATGTTCTTAGGGCTGCAAATGAACCGAGCCGAGCCGAGCATGTGAGTGTTCATGTTTGTGTTCTTTTAATATCAGCTTGTTCAAGTTTGGTTCATGTTTGTTCGAGCTTTATTATTTGTGTTCATGTTTGGTTCATTTAAATTAATGAGTGTTCATGTTTGGTTCATGTTCAGTTCATGTTCGTTCGTTTAGTACTTATCAAGCTTGTTCGCGAACATATTTAACGAATTTTTTTTAACTATCAAACAAACACGTTCATGAACATATCTATGAACAAACATATTTATAATAAAAGCAATTGTCTATGTAACAAAGGCAATGATTATTTATATTTATTAATTTTATAGTCAAATATTAATTATTTTTATCGAGCTTATTCACGAGTTCAAAATCGAACACGAATCGAGCTTTTATCCAGCTTCTTATCGAGCTTAATGTAAAGCTTGTTCACGAACTTCAAATGATGTTGTTCGCGAACATAAATGAGCCGAATGCATTAGTGTTCAAGTTTGTTTATATAAGAATCGAGTATTTAAAATATTGTTTAAGTTTGTTTGTTTAGTTAATTAAACAATCACAAACGAGCTTTAATCGAACCGAACAACGAGTAGCTCGTCAAACGTTTGGTTCGCTTGCAGCCTTATATGTTCTCATTTATGGACGGATCGTCGGGCTATAATCAAATCAAGATGGCATCTGAGGATGAAAAGCACACATCATTCAGAATACCCATCGACATTTTTGTCTACACGGTTATGCCCTTCGGCCTGAAGAACACCGGTGCCACCTACCAACGAGTAATGACATGTATCTTTGATGAATTAATACATCAGAAGGTCGAGTGCTTTGTAGATGATCTCGTCGTCAAGAGCATGAATCAGAAATATTATTTAAATGACATAAGGATCATATTTGAGAGGTTTAGAAAATTCGATTTGAAGATGAACTCTCAAATGTGCCTTTGGGGTGTCCTCCGGTAAATTTTTGGGATACGTCGTTTGACATCGAGGAATCGAAATTGACCCTAATAAAATCAAGACTATTATGGAGATGTCACATCCTAGAAACCTTTGACAGCTTCGCTCGTTATAAGGGCAATTGGCCTTCATCCAACGGTTTATATCAAATCTATTGGGTAGGTGCCAACTATTTTCAAAGCTGGTGAACAAAGATGTATGCTTCAATGGGATGCTGATGCGAGCAAAAATCCCTGGGGAGAGGGCCTCCCCAAGAAATTTTTGATCACCTCAAAAATAACAAAAGAGAGAGACTTAGGAGCTAAGTAATAAGAAGAACAAACTCTTACATTTCATATAAAAAGACACTAACAAACTTTTGACTCAATCGATTCAAGCAAGACACCTTACAACTCTTACAAACGACACAAATACAAATTAAAACCTAAACCTGCTTTCCAAGAGACGAATGATACAATGTAGTGGATACTTGCGGAGAGACGAAAGAGATTAGAAGCCGAGAAGAAGGGTGGAAAGAACTCGCAAGTCTCCCGAGAGATAGAAGAAGAAGAAGAAGAAGCTCTCAAGCTCTTCCAAGAAAATCCGCATATTTCTTTTAAAAAATTCTTTCTTAACATTACTTTAAAATATTCCAAAACATCTCATATTTATAGACATGAGAGGGGAATACAAACAACCACTTCAATGATTTCACACAGGAACCCAAGCATCACAAACCACAGAAAAGCCCCCCCAACCTCACGGGAAACAGCCCAGCCAGGGACCCGAAGAGGCAACTGCGGAAACCTAAGAGGCCAGCACGAAACCGAGGCACCAAAGCACGGGAAAGGCCACCCAACAGGAAAACCAACAGCCAACCGTGGAAACCAAGGAGCCAAGGCATGAAAAACAACAAGTACAGGGAATCCAAAAGCCATTTTGGAAACCCAAGAGACAAACTACAAATTTTAAGAGACAAAACTATAAATAAAGAACTACATAAATAAGAAAATAAATGAAATAAAACCTAGCTAATAAAGAGCTAACTTTTAGTTCAATAAATAAACTAAAAACCGGCTCATAATGAGCTAAATTTCAGCTCAAAATTTATTGAGCTAGCAAACTTAAGGGAAGTCAAAACTAATTTTTTTTTTTGGTTTGATTTGACCCCCCCTTTGCCTACATCAGATGTAGAGTGCTGGGAAGCATTTGACAGTATTAAAAAGTACCTATTAAATCCCCCCATTCTTGCAGCACCAATTTTGGGGAAGCTTCTTATACTGTACACAGGTGTACTTGAAGAGTCTCTTGGAGTATTATTGGCCCAATACAATGAAGAGGGCAAAGAAAATGCATTCTATTATATCAGTCGGAGATTGATCGGAGCATAAGTGCGGTACTCCCCAATTGAGAAGCATTGTGATGCGGAGCATCTTTTGTTAGAGGAGCCTGGAGGAGTATCTTATCTTATTACTCAATAGTTTCTGTTCGGATGCTTGAGTTTCCACTACTTAGTGCTATAGTTAGTTATATAGTACACTTTGCTACTTTTTCTCTTTTTCCTCCTTATAGTATAGGAGGAGGAGGCTGATATATGCCGCTGGTGCTTAGGAGAAGATAGTTTTTAGACATTAACTTCAATACACAGTTTATTCTCTATTATTTCTCTTGCTTGCGTCTCTGTTTTCATCTTATTGCAGGTTACCTACACTATAGTATGTATCAGAGCAAGGATGGCTGAGGGCAGCAAACGGTTGGCCACCGGTGAAGATCGCAGCCTTGATGCCTTGTGGGCGAAACATGCCGATTTGGCACAGCAAACCGAAGCTCTAGCAGCAGATTTCAATCGATTCTTTGGCGAAATGCGCCGAGAACTCCGATTGATCAATGCACGTATGGACAGGAACCAAACCGCTCGGGTTATTCCGCCGGCAACCATACCGGCGGCGAGGCGTGGGTTCGTCGCAGATAGGGAGCGAATGCAAAATAATCCAGTTTTGAATGATTCCGATTCTGAGGAGGAATTGGAATCACCAAATGCTCGGGATCTATCTGATTTGGAAGGAGAACAAGGAATGGTGCATAGGCGTCGTCCGCTTGCCAGAGACAATTACCGCAGTGAGTTTCGAGTCAAACTTGATATACCATTTTTTGATGGTAAATTGCATATTGAAGATTACTTAGATTGGGAACGGGCAGTAGAAACATTCTTCGAGTACATGGAGATTGAACCGGAAAAACAAGTGAAATATGTAGCTTGTAGACTAAAAGGGGGCGCCAGTGCTTGGTGGCAACAAGTGATTCAATCACGACGGCGAGAGGGTAGAGGTGCTGTCCGCAGTTGGTTCCGGATGAAGCAACTGTTGCGAGGCCATTTCCTACCAATTGATTTCGAACAAATGTTGTATGTGCAATATCAACATTGCTCCCAAGGTTCGAGGACGGTAAATGATTATACCGAAGAATTTTATAGGCTCAGTGCAAGAAACAATCTGAATGAATCGGCCAACCAAATCGTTGCAAGGTATATCGGTGGGTTGAAAGATGCTATCCAAGATAAATTGGAATTAAATGCCATTTGGTCACTTTCCCAGGCGGTGAATTATGCACTGAAAGCGGAGATGCAAATGAGCCGAAACAGTCATAGTAGGTCCAACCGGCGAACTACAGAACATTCTGTTGAGTTTAGTAAGCAGCATTTCCCAAATGCGGCTAGTGCTACCAAGCCTTCTCCCTCGGTTTCAGCAAGTAATCAACCTCATGGCACCAACCCAAGAGTTGCAGAACAAAGAACTTATCAGAAAAATAAGGCACCATTGAAAGACAACCCATATGTCAAGCCCTCTAACATCAAGTGTTTTAGATGTTTTCAACAGGGGCATAAATCAAACGAATGTCCAACCCGCCCTCAATTGCAACTGTTAGAAGCTGAAGATGAAGATGGAGCAGATAATGCTTTGGGCAGTAATGACGAGGAGCCGGAAGACGTTGCGGGGGATGAAGGAAAACCTGTAGTTTGTGTGTTGCAGAGACTGTTACTTGCACCGCGACAACCAACCGATTCTCAGCGGAATGCTTTGTTCAAAACAAATTGCACTATCAAGGGAAAGGTCTGCGATCTCCTCGTGGACAGTGGGTGTACCGAGAATGTTATTTCTCGAGCTGTTGTACAAGCTTTACAACTCAAGACTTCAAAGAACCCAAATCCGTATAAAATTAGTTGGGTTAAAAAGGGAGTTGAAATATCTGTGACAGAAATGTGCAAGGTGGCATTTTCGATTGGCCGTCATTATGCTAGTGAAGTATTGTGTGACGTAGTGGATATGGATGTGTGCCACTTAATTTTGGGGAGGCCATGGTAGTTTGATGTGGGAGCCACCTACGACGGCCGTGCCAATACATATTCCTTCGATTGGAAGGGAAAGAAGTTGAGATTATTGCCGCGACATGCTGGCCGAGAGCCCGTCCAGAACACCACCAAAACCGCATTGTTTGTTGTTTCTGGTACAGCTTTGTTGAATGTTTGGCGTGAGTCTACTCATATATTGGCGTTAGTGGTCAAGGAGCAGAACATTGCCATCCAAGAGGGGCCTTTATGTGATGAGGTCAACACTCTGTTGCAACAGTTTAAAGATATATATCCGTCCGAATTGCCAGCCGAACTACCACCTATGAGAGCAATCCAGCATCAAATAGAGTTCACACCAGGGGCATCATTGCCAAACTTATCCCATTATAAAATGTGCCCAAAGGAACATAAAATTTTGCAACAGATCGTGGATGATTTACTAGACAAACAACTCATCCAACCGAGCCTAAGTCCTTGCGCCGTACCGGCACTACTTGTACCAAAAAAAGATGGCAGTTGGAGGATGTGTATGGACAGCCGATCCATAAACAAGATCACAGTAAAATTTCGTTTTCCCATGCCAAGATTGGAAGATATGCTGGACAGAGTATCAGGAGCCACTATTTTCTCCAAGCTTGATCTTCGAAGTGGTTACCATCAAATAAGGATTCGTCCCGGGGACGAATGGAAAACGGCATTCAAAACTCGCCAAGGCTTATATGAATGGAAAGTGATGCCTTTTGGGCTGTGCAACGCCCCGACGACATTTATGCGACTGATGAACGAAGTGTTGAAACCACTACTCAACAAGTGTTGTGTAGTGTATTTTGATGATATTCTAGTTTTCAGTGCCAACCACAAAGACCATCTACAACACTTAAGGGATATTTTTAGTATCCTTAAACATAACAAACTGTTCCTAAACTTTCCAAAGTGTGAATTTGCTACAGAGCAAGTATCCTTTTTGGGCTTCTTGATTTCGGCTGCTGGAATTAGTGTAGACCCACGCAAAGTGACATCTATAATGGAGTGGCCACAACCCCGCTCTTTCTTTGACATTCGTAGCTTTCATGGATTAGCTAATTTTTACAGGCGTTTTATCAAAGGATTCAGCGTCATTATGGCTCCCATCACCGATGCATTGAAGGAAAATCAATTTAAGTGGTCGGAAGAACAGCAAAGAAGTTTTGAGGCTATCAAAGTTGCCTTGTCCTCGACACCAGTATTGGTACTCCCTGACTTTGACAAACCATTTACAGTGGATACAGACGCATCAACTGTGGGCATAGGCGCCGTACTATCACAAGAAAACAAACCAGTGGAATTTTTCAGTGAAAAATTGTGCCCGTCAAGACAGAAGTGGACGGTGTACGAGCAGGAATTGTATGCAGTTATTAGAGCATTGAAACAATGGGAACATTACTTACTACACCAGGATTTTGTCCTATGTAGTGATCATAAAGCCCTCCAATATATCAATACCCAAAAGAATATTAATCGAATGCATGCTCGTTGGATTATTTTTTTACCAAAATTCACGTTCGTGTTGAAACATAAAAGTGGGACTCAAAATCGTGTAGCCGACGCATTGAGCAGAAGGGCGGCACTTGTGACCCAGCTGCAGACCGAATTTTCTGGGTTAGAAAGTCTGCAGGAATTATATCCGGAGGATGATTATTTCCAAGGCTATTGGCATAAATGCTTGCAGCAGGAACCGGTGGCTGAATATTCAATTCGTCATGGGTTTTTATTTAAGAGCAATTTGCTGTGCATTCCAAATTGCTCCTGGAGGCAGCGGATCATTCAAGAGACACATGCCGGTGGTTTAGCCGCACACCTTGGCAGAGAAAATACGATAGCTCAGCTGCAACTTCGATTTTTTTGGCCCCATCTAAGAAGAGATGTAACAAAGTTTGTAGAGAGGTGTTCAATTTGTCAAAGTTACAAGGGAGGTGGTCAAAACACTGGATTGTATCAGCCCTTGCCTGTGCCGGACTCCATTTGGGAAGACTTGAGTTTGGACTTTGTATTGGGCTTACCTCGAACGAAACGAGGTAATGATTCAATCATGGTTGTAGTGGATCGGTTTTCTAAAATGGCACACTTCGTTGCCTGTAAAAAGACGTTCGATGCTCTTAACATTGCAAGGCTTTTCTTTAAAGACATTGTTCGTCTTCATGGGATTCCAAGGAGCCTTACCTCAGATCGGGATGTTAAATTTATTAGTCATTTTTGGAGGGAGCTTTGGAAAAGGTTAAACACACAAATCCAGTTGAGTTCTTCTTATCATCCGTAGACCGACGGGCAAACCGAAGTAGTTAACCGAACTCTTGGTAATCTACTTCGCTGCATAGTTCAGGACCATCCAAAACTTTGGGATGAGGTGCTCGGTCAAGCCGAATTTGCATTCAACTCAATGCCTAATAGATCCACGGGTATGTGCCCATTCAGTATTGTTTACACTAAAATGCCAAACACAATTCTTGATATTGCAGTTCTTCCAAAATGTAAAAGTAAGGCGGCGTCTGTATTAGCTGATCAGTATACAGATTTTTTATCTAACATTCGGATGAAACTGCAAGCTTCAAATGACAAATACAAGATGGATGCTGACATCCATAGAAGGGAGAAGTTATTTAATCCTGGGGATTTGGTCTTTGTTCGGCTTCGCAAAGAGCGGTTACCTGCTGGCAGTTATTCTAAACTCGGCAAAAGGAAATGGGGTCCTTTTCCAATCAGCAAAAAGATAAACGACAATGCATACGTCGTCGATTTACCTGATGAGTTTAATACGTCGCATACTTTTAATGTAGCATATATATATGCTTACCGACCACCTGATGATAGCACAACACAACTGGATCCAGTGAGTCCAGCCATTCTTTGTGGCGGGGGCGCATGATGCGGAGCATCTTTTGTTAGAGGAGCCTGGAGGAGTATCTTATCTTATTACTCAATAGTTTCTGTTCGGATGCTTGAGTTTCCACTACTTAGTGCTATAGTTAGTTATATAGTACACTTTGCTACTTTTTCTCTTTTTCCTCCTTATAGTATAGGAGGAGGAGGTTGATATATGCCGCTGGTGCTTAGGAGAAGATAGTTTTTAGACATTAACTTCAATACACAGTTTATTCTCTGTTATTTCTCTTGCTTGCGTCTCTGTTTTCATCTTATTGCAGGTTACCTACACTACATTGTCTGGCATTGATTTTTGCAGTTCATAAACTCCGTCACTACATGCTATCTCACAAAAAGATGTTGATATTAACGATCGATCCATTAAAATTCTTGATGACAAGACCAGTGTTGATAGATCGTTTAGCTAGGCGGGCAATAATACTACTACAGTTCGATATCACGTACATGTCTCAAAAGGCGGTAAAGGGATAACCTTTGGTAGATTTTCTTGCCACATATCCAATCCCAGCAGATTCTCCACTCAATGATGATTTGCATGACAAGCAAATCATACAGATCGAGAAAAATGAAAAGCTATCATTTTGGGAAATGTATTTCGATGGGGCATCTTTGATAAAACTTGCCCAACCTCCAAATTTTGTTAGGGCCTAAGCCGACATTGACCTCATTTTCATAGCACTTGGAGGAGGCATAATGAGATTTTCGTTCAATCTAACTGAACCTCGAACTAACAATTAAGTCGAGTATGAAGCTCTAATAGTGGAATTGGAGATCACAATTGACGTCAGAATTCGAAATCTCTGAATCTTCGGCGACTCTCAACTTATCATAAATCAAGTGATTTGAAACATACAAGTGAACAAGAATTGTTTTTGGAAATTTATAATAATTTGAACTTTCCTTTTCTAATTAATAAAAACTTATGTTTCACCAAGTTGGAATCTTAGAATTTTCCGTTAGGAGATTAAGTAATAGCAAGCGATTACAAAGGGGATTAATAAGGATCTTGCAAGTAACACAAAAATAAGAAAGTAAAACTAATAGCAATGAAGCAATAATCCACAGTGTAACAATGAGAAGTTTTCACCTTGAGTTTTTTTACTCTCGCTCTTGAAGTTGGGGTTTAGCTGAGAAAGGGTAGAAGCAACCCTAGAGATGCCACCACAAGACAAGTGCCGTGTAGGGTCTTGTTTTTCGGAGAAGTAGCCGGAGGAGGAGGGGTAGGTGGTCGGCCGATGATTTGTCGATGTCCCGTTGGTCTTTATTCGTCAATCGTCTCGGCAAGTTGATAGCGTATGCGGTCGATGTTGCTTTCCACAGAATCCTCATATTCCCATTTTGGATCAAAGATAGGGGATAACAAAATATCGATTTATGCTTGAGTGTTGTAGGAGAATTCGTGGTCGACCTTAGGGTGGGCCATGCATTAATGGTAGAAGGAGGATAGATCTTGTCTTCTCTTCTTTGCTTTAAAACTCATGAAGGATTTAGGGTTTCTAAGGGAGCAAGGAAAAGGGGAAAAGGGCGGTGGCCAAAGAGGGAGAGTGAGAAGGCTTCGGTTATGTGAGTTCTAGGTCTAGGGTTTGGGAGAAGTGATTGGCAATAAATCTGAAATTAATTTTAGATTTGAATAATTTGGGAGAGAATTGTATTTGAAAATTGATTTCAAATTCAAATAAGGCTTAGGGCTTAAAGAGGAAAAACCATGGTGAGCCCAATGATGGGGCTAGCGGCATGAGGAGGGAATTGGGGAGGGTTTTAAAAGCTTCCAAATAAATCTTGTAATTTAGGATGGAGAATAATAATTCCAATCTAATTTTAATTTTAATTTAAATTAGACTTAGATTTAAACACTTTCCTAATTTAGAATTTGTAAATATATAAAGTATTTGAAATTCAAATTTGAATTTCAAATAATCCACAATCCTTCCTTTCTTGCTTGAGCTAATTTAGAAAACCATTAAGATGATTGGAATCATCCTTATGGCGGGGAGCATAGAGGTGGGCCGGCGGTAAGGGGGGGAGAGGGATATGTTGGCGTCGAGTGGGGGTGGGGAGGAGAGCTAGGGATCAAGTGGTTGGGTGATGGGGGAGAAGTGGTCGACGATTGGGGCTAGGGAAGCTTGCGGCCGGTGGTTGGAGGAGGTGTAGAGGGCTGGCCGGCTGGGGAGAAAGAACAAGGAAAAATAAAATAAGCCACGGGCCACGAACTCTTCTAATGATTGGTGGGTATTGCGCTTGCCCTCACCACGGGCTCTCTTCTCTTTAGTGCACACACAAGATGAAGCAAACAAACATCAAATTTCATTCAATCATTCATTAACCTCTTACATAGCATAAGATCGCTATATATGGGTCTCAATCACAAAGAAAAGAAAATTACTCAGTTGCTCTCAGGGCTGCAATAAGAAAACACTCCCCATAGAGGTAAACTAGGAAAACTAAAATTTTAAATAAATAAAACATAAAATACATCAAAAGTAAAGACTTTGAATCGTAGCCATCGATCTACGATTCCGTCGCCGGTATACACGTCAGAATCTCTGAATGATATCCTGATCATTCTCCCCAGGTGGGAGAAAGCTCGATCCCGTCGAGCAAGTATCTCTGGAACTCTCGTACCACTCCAACAGATCAGGATCAAATCTCTGCAACTCATCACGGTCGATCCACATGTTCTCCGTCTCCGATTTCCCTGTCCATTGAACTACATACCTTCGAAGGCCACCATCTTTAGTGGAAATAATTTCATCACTAAGTATTACTTCAACCTTCTCTGCATTGGATAAAGTAGGGATGTTTGGGAGTGGAGGTAGTCTCGGGTTCTCACCAGGTAGGTTCACACAAGGCTTCTTATTTAGTGGATTAGAGGGGTTGAACTCTGGACCCTTAAAGGCTACTAGATCTTCGATGTTAAATATAGGATTAATGTTAAAACCTTCAGAAAGATCTAGCACATAAGCATTACTATTTATTTTTGAAGCTATCTTGAAAGGTCCGGTGCTTCTCGCATTAACTTTTTTAACGATCCCTTATGGGAACCACTTCGGACGAATCCGAATCATTACAAAGTTTCCAACTTCAAATTCTTTGAATCATTTCTTGAGATCCGCATTAAGTTTATAGTTAGCATTGCTTTGTTCAATTTTTTTATTAATTTTCTTATGCAATTCTTGTAGATGTAATACAAAAGAAGATGCAAACTCAGATGCTCTATATTTATGACTCATAGGGATCAAATCTATAGGTTGTTTGGGTTGGTACCCATAAACAATTTCAGGAGGACTTAGACGTGTGATTCGGTTAACAAAGTTTTTATAGTCAAATTCAGCTATAGGCAATTTGGAGTCCCAATCTCTAATATTTTCTCCTACTAAAGTTCTTAATAGGTTGCTTAAGCTCCTATTGACTACTTAAGTCTACCGTACGTTTGAGGATGAATGGCTATGGAAAATTGAAGTTTGGTGCCCATCTTATGCCATATAGTCTTTCAAAAATAACTAGTAAACTTTACATCCCTGTCAGACACTATTGTTTTGGATAATCCATGTAGCCGGACAATCTCATCAAAATAAATCTTGGCAATTCAAGAAACATCAAAGGTTTTGCCACAAGGGAGGAAATAAGTCATTTTAGAGAACTTATCAACTACCACGTAGATTGAGTCATGCTTCATAAGAGTCTTTGGTAGTCCTAAGACAAAATCCATACTCACATCTTGCCAGGGGCGGTTAGGCACAGGGAGAGGAATGTAGAGACCCGTATTTTGTTTACATTGTTTCGCAAGCTGACACGTGTAATATCTTTTAATCAACCTACTGACGTCCTCTTAAGGTTAGGACAGAAGAAATGTTGTTTAATGCAATAGTTTTAGATTGACTGAAGTGCCCAGCTAAATCACGAGCGTGTAATTCCCAGATAAGAAATCCCCACAGAGACGTGCTAGGGATACACAGCTTCAAGGACTTGAATAGATATCCATTGTCCAAAACGAAATTATTGATTATACGATCACTCCTATTAATAAGTATCCTTAAAATCAGGGCAATCTTTGTAATCTTATTTACTTTGTTCAAATCCAATTACTTTAGCCCTCATCTCATGAGTAACCATAATCTGACGACTCAAAGCATCAGCTACCTTATTCTCAGAGCTCACTTTATGCCTAATAGAGTAAGTGTACTCTTGTAAGAATTCAACCCATCTTCCATGTCAGGCATTCAGTTTCTTTTAGGAATTGATGTACTGCAATGTTTTATGATCAGTAAAGATAACAAATTCTTGAGGCAGATGGTAATGTCTCCAATACCTAAGGGATCGAATGATTGCATAGAATTCTTTATCGTAGGTGGAATATCGTTGCCTGATGTCGTTCAACTTCTCACTAAAATAGCGACTAAGTGTCCTTGAGATAGGACTCCACCAATACCAATGCCAAATGCGTCGCAGGTTACGTCAAAGATTTTAGAAAAGTCGGGTAGCCTCATGATAGGGGATTCCAACATTCGTCTCTTGATTTCTTCGAAGGCTTTAGTGGCGGAATTGATCCAATAAAGATCTCCCTTCTTTAGGCAATATGTTATCGGAGCTACTATAATGCTAAAATTTTTAATATATCTCTGATAGAATGTTGCCAATCCATGAAAATTCTTAACATCTCTGATATTCTTTGGTTCGGGGCACTCATTGATTGCTCGCACCTTTTCAGGGTCAGCATATATACCTTGGGATAAAATGATAAAATGATATTCTCGGGCCACCAGAGCATACATGGGGGATCCTTGGTTAAGCTCAACATTTAATTCTTTCGCAATCAAGAAATTTAGTCCTTTAATAGGTTTAATAGGGGCCGGCTTAACTTCATCCTTTGTAGGCTTAGGTTGGGAAGGTAGTACTTTGATCTTCTTACCATTATGCTCAAACACAGGTGTTCGTCCTCACGTAAATATGGACATCATTGTCAAATAGCCATGGGGCGGCCAA